GGGCGCTGCACAGTGCGGCGGGAAAACAGCCAGCGTCAGGGGCGGGAAAACGCCCGGGCGCTGCACAGTGCGGCGGGAAAACAGCCAGCGGCACGGCGGGAAAACGCCCGGGCGCCGTGCGGTGGGGCAGGAAAATGGCCGCGGACCATGTGTCAGGGGCGGAAAAATGGCCGCGGGCCACGTGTCAGGGCGGAAAAATGACCGTACCCCGAGGCGGAGTTCGCACATCGAGGTAAATTTTTGCAGCCCGCGCTGGTCGTAACGCGAAAAGTTTGTTAGTAGAGGCGTTCGTATCCCGAGGTACCACTGTATTTCAAGAAATGTCACACAGTGAAATGAGACAATAGAAGTCTTTTAATTATCTTAAAAGTTATTTTGTCCATACCTTTTGATACAGGAAGCCCATTGCTATAAGAATTAGGTAGGTGGCCATCCAGCTTTGCTTATAAATTAACCCATAAATATGTGTCAGCTCCTGAAGTCATTCAGAAATGTGCTGCAATTTCATACCATCCTCAAGTTCTTCCTAGGGGTTTGTTGAAGTCTCTCTGTAATTTGAATAGTTACTGTAGAGCAGCAGAAAGCAGTTTTACCCCCACTGCTCTGGTAGCACTCCCATTGCTTAACCACGTTTCCTCCAAGTTCTTCAGCCATTCCTCACAGGGCTCAACTTTGCTGGCTGCAACCAGGCATTATGGCTGTCTTTTGTTCCTTGTCCTCTCTCTTCTCCTTTGATGGAGGGGAGGTAACAGTGAAAGGAGACAGACAGTTTTGGCACAGCAGAATGACTTTTGAAGGAAGGGATAAGTGCAGTCCTAGGTAAATTCAGATACAGGTCAGTCCAGCTGGACAATAGAGAGTCTTCACCTAAGGCTTAGGACTTGGCTGCACACACAGCAAGAAAGTCAGACATTCTTCCTCCAAAACTGATGTGGAAGGATGTAGTGTTGTTGTCTGTCGTGTTCCCCAGAGTGATGGTTTGCACCATATTCATTCAGTCTTCAGTTAGAGCATATAGATCTGTGCCTGGAAGATCTGTAGCTCCCTGAATCTCAGTTGGAAATATTTCCTCTCCCCGTGCAGGGTGAATGACTGCATTTTACGTGTGAACGAGGTAGATGTCCGTGATGTGACCCATAGCAAAGCTGTGGAAGCCTTGAAGGAAGCAGGCTCCATGGTCCGTCTGTATGTTAAGAGAAGAAGGCAGACGACGGAGAGGATTGTGGACATAAAACTGGTGAAGGGGCCCAAAGGTTTGTGAGCAGCTCTGGGTGATGCCATGGTAAAGAGAGCATTTTGCATGGTTCCCCTCTTCCCTGCCCTGCAAAAAAATCCCTTTCCTGGATGGGGAAGGACATTCTGCTCAGGACAGGAGTCCATATTGAGTCCCAACAGGCGTTGCCAGGCCTCTGCTTGAGCATGACCTGTTGCGGATGCAGCTGAATGAGACACAGCTGCTGCTTTGGATTTGGGAGCCGCTCTCTGTTTGGGTTTTGAAAACCCCTAAACTGATTCTCCCCTCACTGTTTCCTCCTGGCCCAGGCAGGGTTCCAGGCTCCCTGTTCCATGTCCTGATTCACTGCAAAATGTACCCCAGTCTGAAAGTTGAACAACATTTGTAGAATAATGCTGACTGTCTTTGCTTTCTTGAAGCAGGTCTTGGGTTCAGCATAGCTGGGGGTGTTGGAAATCAGCACATTCCCGGAGACAACAGTATCTATGTCACCAAAATTATTGAAGGTGGTGCTGCACATAAGGATGGCAGACTCCAGATTGGAGACAAGTTGATGGCTGTGAGTTTAAATTTATGTTGGCTTTTTATTCGCTTTTCCATGCTGCATTTGGGCAGTTATGTTCTCCTTTAGTGTTACTAGGACACTCTGTGGCACATCTTACACATCAAAATAGTATTTTGGAATCCTGCTGCTATAAAGACTGAGTTGAAGGTATGGAGATGAGTTGGTCTTCAGTTTCTCTCAGAGAAGGCTGGGACACCATGCAGCGTAACTTGCGTTCCTAGAGCAGGGAGAAACCTAGAGTAAGAACATGTTTTACAGCAAAGAAGATCTGCTTTAAATATTGCATATCTCATTGGAAGTCAATATTGAAACTGGGCCATCCTAATTATATTTGCTGAATAAGTGTGTAATTCACAAGGTTGGTCACAGATATTTAGAATTCCTGAAGCTTTGACTTCTGAACTGCTTAAATATGTGGAGCTAGATAAAACACACTCTTGTGCATTTGCTTTTGCCCTTGCCTTGCCACTCAGAAATAAATGTTCTGTCATGGCACTTGCCCTTTAGAATGTCATCCCCATGGGGATTAGATTGGCCCCCACCCCGATGGCCTTTCGCAAGCCCTGAAGACGTGGCTGTGTTCCTGGGTATGCGGGTTGGAGTGTCAGTGCCTGAGAAGTGGTTATGTTGATGATGGGTGCTTATGTCAGGTGCCGGACATGTATTTATTTTTTATTGTTATGCTGTTCTTGTTAGCCACCCAGAGTCACTATGATGAAATAGGTGGCCATGTAAATGGAATAAAATAAATACGTGGCCATTGTTTTAACAAATTTGCCTTCTTTCAGAAAATTCTGTGAAGAAAATGACTTTAAAATCCTATCAAGGCAGCTTCAAAAAGAGTAAAAGCACTATTAGCATAAAGTTCAAAACGAAGTGCCAACCACAGGACCAGTGCCTGCCAAATGCCAAAGCATTTCAAATCTGGCAACCTAGAGTATCTTACAATGTGGCTGTCTTGCCCTTGGAGAATGGTATTCTGCACCCGTTAACATTTATAGATTGTCATAAAAGGCTGTTCTCTATCGTTTACATGGCCGATTCTAATTAGATGCAGATGAGTTTAAAGAGAAGGTCTACCTTCTCAGGACAAGGCCAGTTCGAATATCAAGTGGAGCTGGTCAAAAGCACTCCCAGCCACTCCCAGATCTTCTCCGGTTAATGCCAAATCTAGAACTCCAAAATTCCGTGTTTGAACATTCAAGGAGTGTAATTCCTCCTCCCACAACGAGTTTGTTTTCCTCCTCAGTTCTCTCAAGTGTTATGTTTTGCCTCACCTCCCTCACCTGTTCCTGAATCACCTCCTCCCAGTATTCAAGAACTTTGAGGATCCCCTGCCTGGCACATGCCGTTCTAGGTGAGGGGTAGAGCTAGGAATCACCAGCATATTGATGATGTTTCAGATCGGTTGTCTACATAATTTCCCCCAGTGGTTTCATAGGATTTTAGAGTTAGAAAGGGTTATTTAGGCCATCAGCCTAACCCCATGCTTTCATACAAGATTCTGTATTAAAGCATTCCTGACAATGACCATCCATTTGATTTCTGTTGTTCATATTAAGGCTTTGCTATTAGTTCTCTGATTATCTGTACTGTCCTTCTCATTACTGCTTAAAATTTGGTATCAGGAACTGTACTTGAAGCGGGTGCAATCGAAAAAAAATAAAATGGAATAATAGCCCTAACTCTAACTATAATTTCCTAAACCTGCATTTGCCTTTTTTGCAGTTTCATCCCACTACTGACTCATACTCAGTTTCCAGGCAACTGCTGTACCAGCAATTTTTTCGCAAGTATTGTTACCAAGGCTGCATCCTATATTTATGCATTTGATTTTATTTCCTGGGGAACTTTGCATATGTCTCTTACACCCACTTCTCTACACAAAAACTGTTGCTGGACCAGGATATAGCTCATCTTAGTCTAGCCCTTCCCCACCTTTCCTCCACAAGGGGTATTTGGAGGCCTCCTGGTCCCAGTTTGGAGGTAACATTGAGCCTTCAAAACCATAGCTCTTGACAGAGAGCCTCTTCCGTCCCCTTTTCAGGCCATCCAAGTTAGTGGCCATCACTGTGACTTTTGCATTGTATTTAAAGGTTTATTATACAGGTAGTCCTCACTTACCGACCACTTGTTCAACGACTGAAGTTACAGCGGTGCTGAAAAACTAACTTTATGGTCAGTTTACAACCATTTAGGACCTTTGCAGTATCCCTCAATCACATGATCGCCATTACAGTCAGTACACATCCTGACCTGTGTTTTTTTCTTTTTTTCTCCCCTTGCAGAATAGAGAGATTGGAGAGAAAGGGATTGCACAAGAGTACGCTTTTTGCTCTTCTACACATCAAAAGCAATGCGATCGCGCTGGCAGCCCAGGGCTGGAGGCTGCGGGCACGCTACACACGCAGCTTACAGTACTCTCTTGAAATCTCTTCCTCTCCAATTTCTCTGCTAACCCTAACCCTAATCAACTTTATATTCCTTTTACTTCTAACAGTCTTAATATTTAGTTCATTCAAATATTACTGTAGGATTTGATTTCTCTTCACTTCTTCTTTGTCCCATTGTGCAGATGTCTTCAAGGCTTTAACAAGCCTCTTTTATAAATCCAGTAGGAAAAAATTATCCAGGTCACTCTCTTAGTTTGTCATTTGTGTTTCCCTTTTAAATTTTAAAACTTCAGCCACTTTCTTTTGTAGAGCTAGTGAAACATCCTTTTCTAAATAATTCTCTTGGCCTGTCGGTTGTAAATCCACTTTCGATACCATCTCTATCTTGTCACATAAAATTTGTTCTACATTTGACATTATAACAATAACATCTTTCAGACATAGTCTGTCCATAGAAGTAGACATCATTACTGACATTGTTGATACTGTGGCTACTGTTTTCTGATTCTATTCTTTAAAAGACTCCTTCAGTATTTTTATTGTTATAATGTTTTGAATCATCTTACAGTCTGCATATCTTTACCTAAAATCTTTAGTTTCCTCTAGTATCCAGTTTTTGAAATCATGAAATTGCTTATCTGTGTTATGTCTTATAAAAACTAAAACAGGATCTATTTCCCTCGAGAGGCTTTTTGTACTTTATAATTAATTCCAAAATCTTACTGTAAAAGTTTCAATATTCCAAATTTATCTGGACCCTTAGTCCATTTATAACTTTTTAAGATCAAAATCAGATTTAGCTTTTTGCTGTTTATTTCTTTAAATTCTTAAGCTTATGATTAAAATTTTGTTTCATTCAGGATTGAAGGCAGACTCATCTGGCATTTTCAAACTTGTCATTCCGAAGGTCTCTAATAGCTTAGAAATAGTTAATGAGCAATTTCCAAAAGTGATTAGAAAGTTGTTGTTGTTGTTCAGTCATTAAGTCGTGTCCAACTCTTCATGACCCCATGAACCATAT